AAACAAATGCAGAAATTGTTCCATAAACAGCAGAAAGGAATGGGTACAGCTTAAAGTCTGGAGAGGTACGTGGCTTTTCTCCTCATTGAGAGGCAACAGTATGAACAGCTGTCATATGCATGATGAAGTCGTTACCCTGAATATGTATAGGGCTTTTTGAGATGCTAATTGCTCTGCAGCTTGTTGTGGAGCTTTTATTTTTGTCATTCTACCATGCTAGCAGATGTTTCTTATTTGTAATGGGTAGGAGTACCCATGTGCTCCAATATTAATAAATTCATTTTGCTGATAAAAAAAAAAAAAAAAAGATTACTTCCCTACTTCATTCGGAAAATGATATACAATAACCCCTCCTTATATAATTCACTCTATTCACCATGTATATATCTACTTATAATATTATAATTATACTATTATCAACTTTCTTTTACTATATTTTAATGCCTCTGACTTCATCAAATAAAAAGTGAAAAAAAATGTCGTGAGAAAGATAAACGGAATATAATTCCGTAATTCATGACTCGTTCGTTGCGTTTAAATTTAAAATTTGGGATTTTTTCAACAAAATAATAGTGTTTTAAAATTATACTCAAATATTTCTTCTTCTTATACTTCAAATACCAATAATTTCATCAATGATATTATGATAGTATGTTAAAAAATTATGACGTTTTTGCAAATATATATTGGATCGGAAAAGTGTTTTTGTAGAATATATTTAAAAACTAATAAGAATTTAATCAAATTAGTATTTATTAATTTAATAATTTAATTTAAAGTAAAAATTAAAAATTTAAACCTTTATATTACTAATCAGCTAACCCTCTAATGTATATTAAAAATATATATATCTAAAAATGTTATATTTTAAGATATTTATTGGTACACACTTTGATCACTATACAACACATTCATTAAAAAAATTAATTTTTAATCTAAAGGTAAAGGCAAACAAATTTAAATATATTGTTATGTATATAAGATGCAAAAATTAATTAAATTTGCTATATTTATATTATATTTTTATAATTAAACTTGAATAAGTGTAAAAAAATATATTGAACTAAATGTATATCAATCATTTTCTAATATTTTAATTAATATTTTTTAAAATTAATTATTAGATTAAATATGTTCATTTATGTAAATCATACATGTTAATTTTTAAATTGATCTAATATATCTAATTAATTTATTAAATACACAAAATTTAACATCATAGCATTAAATATATTTAAGTAAATAGAGTTTTTTTTAAACTAATTGTTATAAATGTTAGATTAATTTAAAATTTGAAATGAATGATTTACATAAATAGAGAATTTAATTCAATAATTAATTTTTTAAATTTTAATTAAAATGTAATATTTTAAGGTGGTCACTAAAAAAAACTTAAGGATGTCCTATGCTATACTATCCTCGTATTTGATATAATTTTTCTTTTTAAAAAATAATAAGTTTTGCCAACAACTTAAATAATTTAGTGATTATCTCTTTTTACTAGAAATAAAAAATTTTAAATTTAAATCGCATGACATGCGGGTAAAATGGAATAAGGGATGAAAGATGGTTATCTCTTATTATGCAATCAAAATAAAATAATAATAATAATAATAAGTTTTAAATAATGAGATGTAACTAACTAATTACTCTCTCCAATCTTTTATCTACTCTACCTCTCTTCAATCTTTTATCCACTCTACCTATAAATGGTAAAACTCAAATCTAGTACTTCTTATTAATATTAATAGGAGATACTACAACTAAACTGCTAAATTAATTGACATAATTGCACTTGACCCGTGTGGCCCAGTGGCTAGAGTCACTGAAAAGTGCACATCCCCCTCCCATGGGCGAGTTTCGAACCCGCCTCATGACAAAACCGTTCAAAAAAAAAAAATTAATTGACATAATTAGCGAGGAAGAGAGTTTTTATTTTATTATTTTTATCTTTTTGTGAACAAGAAGACAGGTTCAACGTGAAAAGGAATACAAGGAAAGAAGTTATATAGGATTAAAATAGTAATTATAATGTTGGATTTATAAAAGTTTCATTAAATGATTTAATTTTAAGAATTTTTGAAAGTACATAGTGCAAGATATGGATGGTGGGGTAGAATCCCGCAAAATTAAATAAATAAAAGAATAGTGGGGTAGGAAAGCACCTAACTAAATAAAAGAATAGTTGGGTAGAAAACCACATCCTAAAGCAATATCAAATCAGGCATATATATATATATGCTCGAATAATAATCTATCATATATGTGTTTTTTTAGAATAAATTGTATTTTTCCAGTGAATTCGATTATTAAATTTATCAAAATATATATCTTTAATAAAATTACTCACCATATTTATTTATTAATGGTATTTTTGTAATTTTAGTGTTGGATTACACAAAAAAAAACAATTAGCATTAAAAAAACACCTTAATTTCTCATAATCTATTATTACTAATTAATCATATTATCATACATTAATTTTGATCACTTTGGTAATGTACAAAAAGAAAAATAATACCTAAAGAAAGCCAAAGTAAAAAAGATAAGATAAGAACACAAAGCACAAAACCACTAATTTTTATTTTTGAGTTGAGATTAACTTGCAAGTGCTACATATAATTTTTACAAAAATCTTAACTATTTATCTCTTTCTATGAATTATTGATATTTATTCACTTTTTATCTTTTTTTAATGTTAATTGTTTGTTTATCTAAAAAATCGTGATAAATTTCAATTATTTATGGTAAAAAATAAATAACTATAATTTTTGTAAGACTTATTTATATAAAACTTATCTATAAGAAGATCTCTTAAATTTTTTGATATTACTTAGGGTAATGATTGGTAAATCATCTAGTTCAACATACCTACAACACCTATTGGTTCAACTATTAAATTTTACAAGTGAAAATTTTCTTACATTGAATTCAAATTTAAAAATAATGATTTTTTAATAAAGATATTATGAAATACATTAAATTAAAGAATGCACCAATCATTGTCCTATTGTTGAACAGTTTCTTACTGTGTACTGACTAACTTACTCCCTCCATTCAACAATATTAGTCCTATTTTGAATTTTTTATACCTTTTAAGATAAAAAATTTTGATATAGATTTAACATAACATATATATAATTAATAATTAAAAAATTTTTATCAAGTGAAACTACTAAACAAGAACTACATACAAAAAAAAAAAATTCTAATTAACATTCATTTGTTAAAAATGTTTTTCCAACTATTGTATCAACAAAGTTAAGAGAAAAAGTGCATATACGAATGTCAATTTTGCACATTTTTTCTATTTAAAGATGTAAATTTTGTTAATTTTTAAATAAAAATGTCAACTTTTAATTTTTTATTTAAGAATGTCAATTTTTTAATTTTTTTATTTAATAAGATGTAAATTTTGTTAATTTTTAAATAAAAATGTCAACTTTTAATTTTTTTATTTAAGAATGTCAATTTTTTAATTTTTTTATTTAATAATATCAACTTTCAATTTTTTCTATTTAAAAATTACTTGGATAGTAATACTAATGCGACAAACATATTTTTTACCTAAAATGTTAAAAGTTAATATTTTTAAATAAAAATAAGTTGAAAAATAATATTTTCAAGTAAAAAAAGTTGAAAGTTATTATTTTTAAATAAAAAAATTAAAATTAAAATAATTATTTAAAATTGACAAAATAA